GGAGCAGGGGTTGGGCAGGGTGTGGCAGGGCATGCTCTGACACCTATGGGCAAGCTACCCTGCAGGGAAGTGTCCACATGTTATATGAGACCGCTGAACTCAACGAGTTCGGCAAAGTCAAAGCCCCCATTGACATAACAATTGACCCCAACTTCCCCATGAGGAGAGTAGTGGGGTCAGAAGTGGTGCACGATACCGCATACGCTTGTGTCAGGGCACACCCCACCTGACCCCGCACCGCACTGCCCTACTCTGCTCCCCCTGCTATCACTCCCTGTTTCTCCTTTTCCCTTTTCTTCTTTCTTTCTATTTCTGTTCCACAATCGACTTCTGTCAGGGCCCGGCCTCGGACTCGGAGGCTCCCTGACCTCAGCCCCCATCTAACCTGTCCTCACACTATGCGGGGCATGAGATGTATAGTAAAAGGAAAGATAATATATACACTTGCCTATGCGGGGCATGAGATGAGAAGAAGGGTAAAGGTCTCATCTCCCCGCATGGTTGCTATATAAAGGAATGGGTCACATGCCCACAACTATACAGCTCTTAGAGTTGTGTAGTGTGACCCGGAGGGAACATCCAGGTGGCAGTGCCCAGTAAGTGTGGGAACGTTCTGGGCGAGTTGCTCGCCCAGAACTGTGGCTGTGATCCGTGGGAACATTCTGGGTGAGCTGCTCGCTCAGAAAGTTCCCACGCTATCCCGTGCGCGCGTGTGTACACAACACACAAAGGCAACAACAAGGCAACAGTCAAAGAGATAAAAGGGGGTAAAGTAGGTGGGGAGTCTGGGGCACCCTAAGGCAGGGTGCTGAACCCTGACAACTTCCCTTTCTCTATGTATCACTACACACCTAACCCCGCTTCCCCAATCGCTGCACCCGCCACACACATTCCCACTTACAGAGCGGCACACCTCTGGGATCTCCCACAGAGATACCCAGGGAGGTATGGCTGTGTGCGGAGATGACGTGGCTCCTCCCACATTACCCCAACCGCATGTATATAATAGCACCTGGGGTGGGAACAGAAGAAGCAGCCTTCTTCTCAACTTCTCACTTCAGGTAAGTACTGTAGCTTCTCCCCTTTAATGATAACGCAACTTCCCACTTCAGACTAAGTGGTCGGGGATGCTCACCCCACGATGGGACTGCCACTATGCATAGCCGACACCTGTCCCATCGAGTCCCTCATGCTGGGACCTCACCACTTTCGGAGCTGTCCCTGATACTTGGTGGACAAGCGTGAGTGGAAAAGCGTTCGTACATTGGTACGAACAGGCTGAAGCTGCCTTCAAAAGTGGTAAGGTACACAAAACCCTTCACAAAAAAGCGAAGGAAACTGAGAAATATTTCTTGGAACTCCTGAGTATTGCAAAACTCATGGAGGACTACAATTCCCTGGGGAACATGGGACAAATTTCCTGGGAAAGTCTAGGCAAAGCTGCCTATGTGAAATCCCAGTTCAAACCACTCAGGACTCCTGAGGAACGTGCTGCAAAAGCTGCAGGGCAGGAAGCGAAAGCTTCCAAGTACCAAGAGAGAGACACAAGTCTCCATGCTGGACAAACGAGCCAGCGACCACCCTTCCCCATGGGAAGAACAGTAAATTTACCATATTCCACACCCAAGCCAAGTGGCTCAGTGTCATATCCGTGCATACCCGATCCCACCGGACCTCCTCCTTCCCCACCTCCGTAGTCCTACCCTACCGCTGTCTGTTCCGATACTCACCTTCGGTCCTGGCAACACACCTCCTTTTACCTCCCATGCCACCTCCACTCCTCCTTCCCTCTCCTCCCCTATCTCCGTCCGCTCCGATACTCACCTCGGACCGAACACCACCCCTCTCGCCACCCTCCTACTACCCCTCCTCCTACTCCTCCGCTTCTCCCTCACAACACCTCCACCCTTCTGTCATCCTCCTACATTTCTCTCATCCACTCTGATACTCACCTTCGGACCTGACAACTCTCCTTTCCGCCACCCCTTCCCTCTTCCCTTTCTCCTCTCTCTTCCCTCTGGTACTCTTCCGCCGACCTCCCGCCAAGTTACGACCTTCCACCGCTGTCCCGTACTCCGTACTCGGGCACCACTCGTACCTTGCTCCGAGCCTCCGTCATAGTCCCTACCTCGGACTTTGACTCCACCTCGGTCTTAGTCCATTGCATTGGTGACCTCATACTACGTAAACACCATTGCCAATATCCCTCAGACTTTCAACCCCGCCTCCGTAAGCTCTGCAACCTCCGAGCTTCACGGATCATCTTCGGCACTTTCACCGCTTGTAATGTATCTCTCGCGTTTTCCCCTCATCCCTATTTTGGACTGCTGCTTCTTCCCATTCTAGCCAGTTAGTCATCACCCCCACTTCTCCTCATCCTCCTGCCCCTCTGGGCCTCACCCTCCCTACCTCCTTTTGGACATATCACAGGTTCTGCCTTATGACCTTCGGTACCGCTCCGCTTCTGTCTACCCTTTGTTCCTGTTCAGACGTCTTCATTCCGATTTGGACCCCCTTCGTTTCCTTGTGCTTTTGCCCCCTCCATTATATATATTGGTGCTTGTACATACTCGTTTTGGGCTCAGTCCGAAATCGACCTGAAATGCCCCCTAGAGACTGTCAGGGCACACCCGCCTGACCCTGCGCTGCGCCGCCCTACTCTGCTCCCCGCTATCACTCCCTGTTTCTTCTTTCCCCTTTCCTTCTTTCTTTCTTTCTATTTCCGTTCCATGGTCGACTTCCCCTTCTCTATGTATTACTACACACTTAACCCCGCTCCCCCGATCGCCGTGCCCGCCACGTGCATTCCCGCTCACAGAGCAGCACACCTCTGGGATCTCCCACGGAGATACCCAGGGGAGTGCGGCTGTGCACGGGGATGACGTGGCTCCTCCCACGTGACCCCAGCTGCATGTATATACACCTGGGGTGGGAACAGAAGAAGCAGCCTTCTTCTCAACTTCCCACTTCAGGTAAGTACTGTAGCTTCCCCTTTTAATGATAATTCAACTTCCCACTTCAGACTAAGTGGTCGGGGACGCTCACCCCGTGACGGGATTGCCGCTATGCACAGCCGCTACTCGTCCTACCGAGTCCCGTGCGCAGGGACCTCGCCGCTTTCGGAGCTGTCCCTGACAGAGACTTCCTGCTCACCTACTGTGAAATTAAGGACCAAATGGACAAACAGCAATGGCACAGCGCTCCACCTGAGTCGCTGAGGCCAAGGTCCTTTCACACTAAGTCTCCGATTCCACTCCGGAGTCGTCTGAATCCACGCTTCACATCATGTGAGGTCTTTGGGTAGCTCAGCACACAAGGCTGTAAGTGATACAAGTATGTGTATTTTACAGTGGTGTGTAAGCAGTTACCCGGAGGTTCCCGCTTACCCACGTGACTATATGTATCTAATTACATGTGGCTCGGGGTTCGGGGCTATTGCCCTGACATTCTCCCCCCTTGCATTGCATTTGTGATGCATACAAGGTTGATAGTGAATAAAACAAAGTTTTAATAATTGATTTACATTGAGTTTGAAATTATCAATGAGTGTTTTGTTGTCGCCACTTTAAAGTGGGCGATTTTTGTACATGTCGGTGAAGGAGAGAGAAAGGGTTTAAGGAATAAGCGAGTGTGGGCCGTCACTTTGAAGTGAACGGTGATACATGGGTATCGCAGGGGGAAAAGTAGTGGAGTTTGTCAAAAATGAATTTCGACCCAAAGGTTGTATGTCTTTGGTGTTCCTCACTTGTTCCGTGAGGGTTCGTGTGTAAGTGATGTTTACACATGAGCAGTGGTGGATGTGGGTCTTTTGACGGAGTAGAGATTTCCGCAGTTGTTACTTGCGGTTCCTCGCATACAGTATTGTGTGCAGGGCCTCGAGTTGGGGGAAGGTGTTTTCATGGGTGCCTCGATGGCGTATTACCGTGTCACTTTCCCTTTTCTCAAGGGTGGAGTCATTGCCCTGGAGGAGGGTTTTCCTCCGGGTTGTTCATCTGGACATCCGATTGCTGCATCGGATGCGATGATGTAGCCTGGGCTATATTGTCGGGCTGTGGGCTTGACGAAGTGGGCGCTCCCTGGGTGGGAGCGGGTTGTTGTGTTCCTGAGCTACTTGGCTCAGGTGTGGAGTACGGTAGGTCTACCGTTCTTCCCGGGGGGAAGGGTGGTCGTTGGGCTGGTTGTCCAGCGCGGAGACTTGTGTCTCTTTCCCGGTATTTGGAAGCTTTCGCTTCCCGTTCCACAGTTCTTGTGGCACGTTCCTCAGGAGTCCTGAGTGGTTTGAACTGGGACTTTAGATAGGCAGCTTTGCCTAGACTTTCCCAGGAGATTTTTCCCTTGTTCTCCAGGGAGTTATACTCCTCCGCAAGTCTTGCAATACTCGGGAGTCCCAAGAAGTATTTCTCGGTTTCCTTCGCTTTTTTGTGAAGGGTTCTGTGTACTGCCGTTTTCCATTCAATAGTCCATGTGACAAATTTCGGTTCCGCACTCGCTCGTTGGCGCGAAAGCAAGCCTGACAAAGAATAGCTCATATCTCTGCAACCAGATGAGCTAGGGACTTGCGGTTTCTTTTAAAAGGCATGTATTTTACTCCTACAGATTACTTTACCACCGATAATCCTAATTCTCATTTTTTATAAATTCACGTTTGTCACAGTCCCCCCCATTTTTCTCAACAACGGCTGGATGGAAAGGGATGAAAATTCGGCAGTAGGTAGTTCTTGTAAATATCTCAAACCCATTTTTTTTTCTAACCGATAGGCCTTTTTTTCATTTCTTAATAAGGTTGTGTGCCATCGCGGCGACTCACACAGTCCCCCCCACTTTTCTTAACAACTGCTGAGTGAAATGGGATAAAAGTCGCGCAGTGAGTAGTTCTTCCATATGTCTCGGACCCATTTTTTTTTCTAATCGATAGGATCTTTTTTCGTTTTTTAATTAGGCTGCAGGTTCACGACAGTGCTCAATGTAGCTTGATACCGTCCCCCCTGATTTCCTCAACAATGGCAGGGTGCAGCGCAGTGAAAGTCAGGTGGTGAGTTCTTCTGGCATTTATCTCGGACCCATTATTTTTTCTAACTGATAGGATTTCTTTTCGTTTTTTAATTAGGCTGCGTGTTCAAGACTGTGCTCAATGTGGCTTGGCAGTGTCTTCCTCGACAGCAGGGTGTGGTGTGGTGAAAGTCTGGTGGAAAGGAGTTCTTAGATGTGGCCTGGGATCTCTCTTTTGTCTAATTGATAGGAGTCTTCGAAAAAAATTGTATTTCCGTGCATGTCCATCAACCCTTCCTTTATGCAATCCCCCATTCTCAACCTGAGCTTACATCACCACCATCTTTTCCTCTCCATTCTCCTCAGTACCTCTCCCTTATGGAGCATTATATTCCATGCCAATCCTTTTCCATGCCTGCTCTTCCTGGGGCCAAACCAACGGCTTCTTCCGGAGACATGCAATTTGTTTTCCATTTATTCTTCCATTTGCGCTTTGTATTCCATGCACAATGAAAAGGGGAAGCAAGCGGGTGAATGCACAGGGACCAAGGGTAGAGGCCTTGCGCTCAGCACAGAAGAAAATTCAGCCAGAATCCCTGGAGATGGCTTCTCCTTCGGACCCCCACCGAAATCTGCGTCCACGACGACAACCACCTTCCCGCCCTCCTTCTGTGTCACCACTGCCAAATCCTGCTCAAAATCCTGCTGACCTGAGTGGATTACATGCACTAGTAGCTGCTGCTGCTACTGTGCTACCAGGAACGTTGCCTGGTGGCATCACGGAATCACAAAACTACGCTGCCACTCTAGACTTGGGCACTGTGGAGGAAGAGGGTCCACCGTGACTTGTTGGCATGTCGGATTCATTAAGGATGAATGGTAAGTAAATGTCAAATCTCCATAACCAAACCAGTGCTTACTGGGTTTGGTGTTTAGACGTATCCAAACCAGCACCATCCCCACCAAAACAGGTGCTGCAACATGAGATCTTTCGTGTTGATTCTGAAGGGCCTGAGGCCTTTGGGATCACTTACATGGTCAACATCGGTGGCAAGTACAAATCTTGCAGAATGCCAAGTACCGAGGAATATAGAGAGTGGTGCGCAGCAATTGTTGAAGTCTCGGGTTTCTCAGAGACGCGTACTTTCAAGCATGAATTCGCATGGAAAATGTACTCAGCGCCAAAGAATCAGGACCCAGTGGCAGTTGACAACAAAACTGATTATGAGATGATGATCAGTGATGTGACCGAAAAAGTGAAGGGGAAGAAGGAACCGTCTGTCGCAATTCTTATCAGTAATTTGGTATGTTAATTGGATTGTGAAGTTTCTGGGCTGATCAACATTAACTGTATCTTTTGTTCAACAGCCTCCGAAAGATGAAATACCCCGTGGCAAGCAGAAGTCAAAGAAGGCAAAACTTGAGTCATATAAGCCAGACTCGTCATCCCCCTCAAATTCTGATAATGATTCCGAACCCAAGCAACGCAAAATCCCCAAACTACCAGTCCGTGATATTGAAGAGAAGCTAAGGCAGATGAATGATTTCTGCGAATCACATAAGTCGCACTGTTGTGTATTATCAACCCCTGGCTATGTGGGCAATCACGTTATCTTGAACAAGTCTGCCGTTAAGCGCTGGGCCCAGTCAGTTGTATGCACATTTCCTTCCATGACTAATGATCCTTTGCTAACTTGTGTCAGGATAACGGCATTGCCTCATTTGAAGAACCCCCGATGTATCTTGTCAGAGAAAGTGTTGCTGGTGCTGAAATCCCCCCTCCACCTGGTGGAAAGAAGAACGACGGCAAGACAAAATCCACTTCTCAACCGGCTCTACCACCCCAAACTTTGCCATCCCCTGTGAATGGTGGACCGGAAATGGTTCTCATGCCGAATGCTCCTCTCCAAAGCGGTCCCATTCCAGTTGGTCCCTCTATGTGGCCTACAATGTACGCTGCATATCCTCCACCATATCACTATCCATTCCCCTTTCCAGATCCAAGGACTGCTTTCCTCCCTCATCACTACCCATTCCCGGGTGGTTATAGTGCCGACGGCCACTCCCATACCTATGGGGATTATCACCGGCAAACAGGATTATCGCAGTTAGCTCCACAAAGCAGTGAGGACCTTACTCCGCCCCCTTCAGCATTCCCCACTGTTGAGCGCTGGCTAGACGAACTCAAGAATGACTCAGACTTCAATCCGGATGGACTGCTCTTCAGTCAATATCTGGCAGAGATAAATGACCTGGGGTACCTCCGCATAGATGAGTTATCCAGAGCTTGTTTGAGCGATGGGCTTCATGGACTTGGGGTCAACATCCCTCGTGGTCTTTCTGAGAAGCTGTGCCGCACAATGCGCCACAAAATCCGGAGAATTTCACGAGACTATATGGCAACTAGATTCAACTAGTTTATCATCCCCGTTGTTTATATGTTAATAATGTTACAATGCATGCTCAGTCTACATCATAACCACAATCTCTAAACCAACCTTTCACATCCTCAGGCAAAATGGTACAATAGGTATTGCACAAATGGTTTTCAATCAACATATCATTCGCAGTATTCATGACATCCCGCAAAGGTGTGCCATGGCGACACAAAAGGTGTTTGAATTTTGAAAATGACTCTTCGATTGGGTTGTAGTCCGGAGAGTAAGGAGGGAGATAAATCAATTTGCATCCCCTGAAAAAAGTGTAAGTTGCCAACCGGGCCCCAAGAAAACTGGAAACTTCAGTGTACTTTTGCTCAATCAGGTCCTTGATTGAGGGATGTTTGTGTATTGAACAGTTGTCCATTACGATAACTGAGTTCTTGAGTGGGAAGGGGTTCATTTCTCTTAACAACTTGTGAATAAAGTGACGAAATGCCTCGGTATCGTAAGATCCTTTTCGTGCTTCAACATACAATGGGCCATCCAATGACAGCCCTGGGAGCACTGAGAACCTATGGAAAGATCTGAAGATTAGTTCCTCAGCAACCCAAAATAAAGTGCACACCTTTTGCCCTTTGAACGGCTTGAATGAACTGTTGCTCTGTACCCTCTTCGTGACCATCCTCGGATCCGAAGCGAGTTGCGCTTGTCCACAGCTGTCTCATCCACAAAGACAAGCTGGTCAGCAAGGTAGTTGTCAGTGATGTCCTGGTGCCACTCCGCGCGCTTTTCGTCATTGCGTTCCCGAGCTTTGCGTTGCACCTAATTGAAAGACAAGTCGCATTACAGTAAACAAAACACTTGGTTGTTCATACCTTCTTCATAGTATATCCTTGACGACACAGGGTCTTCCAGATACAGGACTGGGAGACAATCGTCCCACACCGATCAATAAGCTTCCGTTGAAGCTCATCCAAAAAGAAGTCTGGTCGCGCATCCAGCAAGCCAATAAGAAACTATGTAAAGTTGAGGTAAATAAGCTAGATGAGAATATAGAATACATACCTGGATATCTTCCTTACTGAGCTTTTGTTTGCAGCCACCTTTGTTCAAATCAGGGTTGAAATGGCCAAACCTTCTATACCGTGCACGCCAGCATCTGACAGTGCGGCTGCTGACACCAGAAAGAAAGTCCATCATATCTGAGCCTAGATAGGTGTCTATGTGGAGCACAAGCGCTTTGAAGTCATCACCATCAAAGTGAATAGGAGCCATCGAAGGAACAATGTAATGTCGGAAAGTGCCGTTAGCGCGCACCCGCAACAGATGGCACAGTGCTCACAATTTTCGTATTAAAAACACCTAAAGATGCATTACCCATACTTATTATATGGAATGGGAACTGAGGAGAGTGGAGAGGGAAGGATGGTGGTGATGTAAGCGTTAAGAATGGTAAAGGAAAGGTTGATGGGCATGTACGGAAATACAACTTCATTTGAAAACTTCTATCAATTAGACAAAAGAGATATCGGGCCACACATGAGAACTCCTCTCCACCAGACTTTCATCCTATTCTACCCATCCACTGTTGAGGAAAGGACATCAAACCCGAGGTGAGCCCGCGATGAAGACAGAACCCAATTAAAAAACGAAAAAATATCGTATCGATTAGAAAAAAAAGGGGGGTTGAGATAAATACCAGAAGAACTCACCGCCTGACTTTCACTGCACCGCACCCTGCCATTGTTGAGGAAATCAGGGGGGACGGTATCAAGCTACATTGAGCACTGTCGTGAACCCACAGCCTAATTAAAAAACGAAAAAAGATCCTATCGATTAGAAAAAAAAATGGGTCCGAGACATATGGAAGAACTACTCACTGCGTGACTTTTATCCCATTTCACTCAGCAGTTGTTAAGAAAAGTGGGGGGGACTGTGTGAGTCGCCGCGATGGCACACAACCTTATTAAGAAACGAAAAAAAGGCCTATCGGTTAGAAAAAAAATGGGTTTGAGATATTTACAAGAACTACCTACTGCCGAATTTTCATCCCTTTCCATCCAGCCATTGTTGAGAAAAATGGGGGGGACTGTGACAAACGTGAATTTATAAAAAATGAGAATTAGGATTATCGGTGGTAAAGTAATCTGTAGGAGTAAAATACATGCCTTTTAAAAGAAACTGCAAGTCCCTAGCTCATCTGGTTGCAGAGATATGAGCTATTCTTTGTTGGGCTTGCTTTCGCGCCAACAAGCGAGTGCGGAACCGAAATTTGTCACGTGGACTATTGAATGGAAAACGGCAGTACCTTGCCGCTTTTGAAGGTGGCTTCGGCCTGTTCGTACCAGTGTACGAATTCTTTCCCACTCACACTTGTCCACCAAGCATATGCGGCGTTGTGCACTGCTTCTGACCCCACTATTCTCCTCATGGGGAAGTTGGGGTCGATTGTTACATTGACTGGAGCTTCGACTTTGCCGAACTCATTGAGTTCGGTGGTCTCATATAGCATGTGGACACTTCCCTGCAGGGTAGCTTGCCCATAGGGTGCTGAGGTACTCAGCAGCCTGCCACCTCTGGCAGTGGTTCCTGTTTTAGGGTCTGCCGTTGGTTGCCTACCACTCTCCCTCTTCCCCTTGACATGGGTTTGCCCTTCTGAGGGTGGGCCCTTATGCAACCCGGACAGGGTCGCCTGCCCACAGGGTGGCAGGATAGTCGGTGCCCCACCCCTTGATGCGCTAGTCGCCATGTGGGGTCGCGCCTCATGAGGCCTGGAACTGTATCCCCTCCCCCTGACCTGGGAGGCCCCCATCATAATGGGTTTGGCAGCGAGGTCTGCCAGTGCGCGTGCCTCTCTGAGCTCGCATTTCAGTAATTCGATCTCCCTTTTTTGGAGATCGACCTCTCTCTCTGTGTCTTTCAGAGAGTCAAAGATGCCCTCGGCATCTCTTCGTGCTCTGTTGTATTCGCGCCTCCAGTGGGCGCAATGGTCGCAGGTGTCATATCCGTGCATACCCGACCCCAACCCGACTTCCGGACCTCCACCCTCTTCACCTCCGGAGTCATACCCTACCGCTGCCCGTTCCGATACTCACCCTCGGTCCTGGCAACACACCTCCTTCTACCCCCACACCACCTCTACACCTCCTTCCCTCTCCTCCCCTATCTCCTTCCGCTCCGATACTCACCTCGGACCGAACACCGCCCCTCTCGCCACCCTCCTACTACCTCTCCTCCTCCTACTCCGCTCCTCCTTCACAACACCTCCACCCTCCCGTCACCCTCCTACGCTTCCCCTGTCCGCTCCGATACTCACCTTCGGACCTGACAACTCTCCTTTCCGCCACTCCTTCTCCCTTACCTTTCTCCTCTCTCCTCCCTCTGGTACTCTTCCACCGACCTCCTGCCAAGTTACGACCTTCCACCGCTGTCCTGTACTTTGTACTCGGACACTGCTCGTACCTTTGCTCCGAGCCTCCGTCACAGTCCCTACCTCGGACTTTGGCTCCACCTCGGTCTTAGTCCATTGCATTGGTGACCTCATACTACGTAAACACCATTGCCAATATTCCTTGGACTTTCAACCCTGCCTCTGTAACCTCCGTAAGCTCTGCAAACTCCGAGCTTCGCGGATCGCCTTCAGCACTTTCGCCGCTTGTAATGTATCTCTTGCGTTTTCCCCTCATCCCTATTTGGACTACTGCTTCTTCCCATTCTAGCCAGTTAGTCATCATCCCCACTTCTCCTCATCCTCCTGCCCCTCTGGGCCTCGCCCTCCCTACCTCCTTTCGGACATATCACAGGTCCTGCCTTATGACCTTCGGTACCGCTCCGCTTCTTCTGCCCTTTGTTCCCATTCGGACGTCTTCATCCCAATTTGGTTCCCCTTTGTGCCCTTGTGCTTTTGCCCCCTCCATTATATATATCGGCACTTGTACATACTCGTTTTGGCTCAGTCCGAAATCGACCTGAAATGCCCCTAGAGACTTCCTGCTCACCTACTGTGAAATTAAGGACCAAATGGACAAACAGCAAGGGCACAGCGCTCCGCTTGAGTCGCTGAGGCCAAGGTCCCTCCATGCTAAGTCTCTGATTCCACTCCGGAGTCGTCTGTATCCGCCCATTTCTAACAGCAGGCATCTTCTGACACTGTTAGAATGGGCGGAAACAGACGACTCCGGAGTGGAATCGGAGACTTAGCGTGGAGGGACCTTGGCCTCAGCGACTCAAGCGGAGCGCTGTGCCATTGCTGTTTGTCCATTTGGTCCTTAATTTCACAGTAGGTGAGCAGGAAGTCTCTTGGGGGCATTTCAGGTCGATTTCGGACTAAACCAAAACGAGTATGTACAAGCGCCGATATATATAATGGAAGGGGCAAAAGCACAAGGAGAACAAAGGGTAACCGAATCGGAACGAAGACGTCCGAATGAGAACAAAGGGTAGAAGAAGCGGAGCGGTACCGAAGGTCATAAGGCAGGACCTGTGATACGTCCGAAAGGAGGTAGGGAGGGCGAGGCCCAGAGGGGCAGGAGGATGAGGGGAAGTGGGGATGATGACTAACTGGCTAGAATAGGAAGAAGCAGTAGTCCAAATAGGGATGAAGGGAAAATGCGAGAAATACATTACAGGCGGCGAGAGCGCCGAAGGCGGTCCGCGAAGCTCGGGGGTTGCGGAGCTTACGGAGGTTACGGAGGCGGGGTTGGAAGTCCGAGGAATATTGGCAATGGTGTTTACGTAGTATGAGGTCACCAATGCAATGGACTAAGGCCGAGGTGGAGTCAAAGTCCGAGGTGGGGACTATGACGGAGGCTCGGAGTAAGGTACGAGCGGTGTCCGAGTGCGAAGTACGGAACAGCGGTGGAAGGTCGTAACTTGGCGGAAGGGTGGCGGAGGAGTAACGGAGGGAGGAGAGAGGGGACAGGTAAGGGGAGAAGGAGTGGCGGAAAGGAGAGTAGTCAGGTCCGAAGGTGAGTATCGGAGCAGACGGGGGAAGCGTAGGAGGGTGGCGGTAGGGGCAGTGTTCGGTCCGAGATGAG